AAAGGCCGTCCAGTGAGCAGACACAGAAAAAATATCAGTAATACCATTCATGTGACGATCTGTCAAAGCCCTATTAGTGTGACCATATGGCTTTGTCGAGATTATACGCGTACCATCTTTTAATTCAGCCAGTATTTCTCTAAAACAAAAATGAAACTGGATTAAGAGTTTTGGTAACTGTGCTAACAGAACCCTCGATCACGCTAAATGTGCTTACCGTTTTATTTTGGTTTCCAATTCAGCTGTGAAAGCAAAGTTGTTGATAAAAATTATTGTGGCTTCTTTCGTTATCAGGTCGCGGAATTTAAGGTCCAAGAAATCACCATGCAACAACTCAAATGGGCGAAATTTCTTGCCGTACCATTTCATCCACCTTGAAGAGTTGAATAATAAACTTTATATAAGCCAGACTTTCATTCCAAAAAAAACACAAAATAGGCAGACTTTTTAAACTCATCCGCCAGATTCTGCGCGTATCTATTTGGAACTTGTGCAATCTCAATGCCTACTGCTTTCTTAACCTTCGAACCACCAGCCATTTGAATTACTAACTGTCCAACGCCACTGCCCAAATCAACAAAAATGTCTCTTTCCTGCAGAGGAACAAAGGCTAAAACCTATCTACTCGAAGACTGAATGGAGAAGAGTAAAGACATTTGAAATTAATTAAATCACTAAAAAAATGCGAAAAATATAAACAAGAAAAAAAAGAAATATAATAACATACTTTAGGAGTAATTTCCTGAATAATCAACTGTAACCTTTCAAACGAGGTTTCCCCATAAGTTTCTGAAGAAAACGCTTTGTAGTGATTATTTAGGAGGTTAACATTCTCAACTGCCCGATTATATGCTCGATTTCTTATCCTTTTCAGTAACTCAGAGTCTGCTCTTTCTGTCGACCAGATTTCGCCACCTGGCTTCGTAGCGCCTTTCCACTAAAATTAAAGACTTTATGAGGATTAAAGACTTCAAACTGGGTGACACAACTAAAAAAATAACGCATCTAAAAATTAAAAAAAACCAACAAAAGTTACAAGTATCTAAACTTGCCAATTTAGAAGCTATGCTGATCACTTCATTATAATTTTCAAGCAACATACTCATATCCGCATAGCTGAAAACCAGAAATCAATTAACTTAAAAAGTGAATTGTTGAACCATGCTCTGAATAAAGCTATGCTTCATTCGAAGTAAAAAAGATTCCAAAAAACTACTGAAACGTAAAACAAAAAAGTTCGAGACCTTACTCAACGTACAATAGAATTTTTTTAAAAATCTTAAAAGAGATGGCTAAAAGCACATCGGCAAACAATAATGTACCTCTTTTTATCTATTTTGTCAATATCGACTTCTTTTTTCTTGAACACAAATTGTAACTCTGGAAACCAAGAGAGTGTGTCTCTGAAAAAAAAAGTGCATACATCAAAGTAAATAAAACAGACAAACAAGCACAATATTATAGTTAGAAGGAAATTGCCTGGCTCACACTGAAGGTCAAAATAAATACTTACTTTTGGAAAAACGCACGCAAGCAAACGATAATGAAAGCGGCGACAGATAAAAGTAAGCCATTAAGTATCATAAAATTCTCACTTTATGGTTTCGATTATTTCTGCCCCTTCGCTATAACTAGACGACTCCCTTAGTGGCCAGTAATAAGTGAATGATTCACCAGCAACAGGGCTAAGCAGTTTCATAGGAATACCATCCTCCCGCGCTCTCACTGGAGGTGTACGTGACTTTGAAGTTGACCTGCTCGAACCCCCGGATGCAGGGCTTTTCCTATTCTCTGTTTTTTCAATAATGAGCTTAGAGGATTCTTTGATAAGCTTGCCACTGGATGTTGACGGTGTCGGAGCATCTTCATGGCTATCCTCAATCCTCTCATTCTCTGAGGCCATACCCGAGAGAAACCGAAATTCCTAGGGCTACAAAGTCATTAAACAAATCTTCAAGCAATTTTTCTTCGTCAAATCGGAAAAGCACCAGTGTGAAGTCAAAAGTGACGAAACCTGTGGTAATGCAAGTATATTAGGTGTAATGTAGGGATATTTTATAACTATAGAACGAAGAACCTAATATGAAGGAGAAAGAAACTAAAACTGCGCGAACTTCTCCGTATGAAAACATCATCTAGTAGTAAACTCCAACGTCCTGACATTAAATTCGTAAATTTCAGAGTCTTGCAAGAACAAAACCAACGTTTTCAAGAAACAGTCTAGAACCGAGAAAGTGGTGTTCAAATAGAACAAACAAAAAAAATATTATAAGGAAACCGTACTCAGCTGGAAGAGCTCAGGCAAAATTTATATGAGAAGAACCTTGTGACAGCATCGCTCTGAAAAAGACTATCTAATCGAAAATAGTTACTGAGATAACAATAAAAAGAGACGAAGCAACTACGTCAAAAGAACTCCAAAATCAATATGCACTTTACAAGTGGTACGCTTTAGAAGCTCTATACCTGAAAATATAACTTTTCCTACATCTAATTCTAAACCTACAAAGTTATGAAATATGTCCCAACTGTTACTCATCAAGCACCATGAAGTCTTGTTTTCGCATAAGGCAAATACGCCATCTTTTCCAAAAAACAATAAATTCAGTTGGATTGACCAAAATAATTGCAGTATAAAGTGATCGTCTTGTTCGTCAAAGCAATTTTCATCCAATCATTTCCAGCCAATAAATTTATTCCAAATACAGCACTTGGCAAACTTACATTTCTTAGACTTAAAGCTGAAAAGGAACAGTAGAACATCCACTCCAATCAAGTTTTTAAAAACTCCATTAACAAATTTTCCATTGTTTCTGTAGCGGAGAACAGGAGAGACATTCTATTCAAAGTAAAGTTCTTGTCTTACCGTAATAAAAAACGAAACATGGCTATGGAAACTTCTAATTCTCGTTAGTAAAGCCACTTTTTGCAAAGACTCGAAAAGCTCATAGTCCCCATTATTAAAGCTACTTTTTGCATGGTATGCATCAGGTAACATCGCAGTACCCTACTTCACAGATGCAAGGCTCATTTAATACATCTTTTCAAAAGCTTCTTAAATCATTACCGTTCTTTTTGCATCTGGCCATGCCTATACTTCAGATCCTAACAACGAGTTTAAACCTCAGCTAAAAAATTAGAAATCAGTTTCGAAACTATATGCTATGAGATCGAAAAACATCCAATCTAAAAAATTCCAAATTCAGCTTTAATCTACCTTGATAATCGGTCTAGATTAAACTAACAAATATCTGGTACAAATGTTGTACTTGCTTGAAATTTTATAACATAGTCCTACCTAAACTTATGCTTATGCGAATTTGTTTAAAATAGCAGACACGAGCAGTGCAGTCAGGCGACTAGCTAGTTCATCATACAGACCACAGATTCCAATATTCCAATTAATGCTACACGGAAAAAAAGACGAGGCCAAAATAATGCATAACTTTTTCCATCTCTTTTACAGTGTAAACCACATATACTGCAAATATAAAACGTTTCTGGTATTAGTCAATTTCAAACTTAAGTTTAGACGAACAGCAATAAAGTAACGTCAGTAAATACTTCCATTAGAAGACTACCCTTGAATATCTCAACAAATTAGCCCACTCATTATTGCTTCCAAAATTATCACTTATTACGAGCGACTCAAATTAAGAAATTATAATAAGTAAAGCAGACAAGTTTGTCAGGGAAAACCTTTTTCAAACAGTTTAGCATCAGGCACCATGGCAAATTTGAACTATACATAACAGTTAGTCACAACAATGAATAACGAGCACGAGACTACCCTAATCGAACATACCTTCCTAAAACATCATTGAAAAAAGAGCTGTTAAGAAACTTATCACTGCCCAGACGGTTGACTACAAAAGAAGGTTATGGTGGGGAAAAAAATGAGCACGGCATTATTTCCACAGATAGATAATTTAAGATAAAAAAGCCATTTAAAATGCACTAATGTTACGAAATTTGTTCCTGTAATTGTTTTTCAGGTAATGACATTGAAAACCTTTACCAACTTTATATAGAATTAAACCCACGTTAAAAAACCGTTTCACTTGAGTGAGCTTTTTTCAACCAACACGAACGAATGCAATAAATTTTGAAAAAAACACACGTCACTGCAACTGTACCCTCAATATTGCTTCCGAATTTTATTAGAAGCTTCAATATCCAAGCGTAAAAAAGATTTATCTTTAAAAAAGCAAATTTGACCTTCCTGACAGTCAAGCGCAATAATCAGAAGATAAATTCGTCAAGTTAAATCGTTAAGTCTCGTAACGAAGGAACCGAAGATGAATATATTATCGGACAATAACTAGTGATACAGCCATATCTAAGTTAAACGTGATAGAAATAATCGATACCTTTAAAGTATCAATCCTGAATAGTACCAAATAACCTCCTCTTACACCCTACAATTTTTATTTTCAAATAAAAGGACGACAATTTCGCATGAAAACTACACAATGCTGAAACCATAACTGTCGAGAAAAGTCGAAGTTCACTTCAACAACACATCAAACGCGACTGGCTACTCCACCAAACAGACCACAGACTCCGACTGAACAAATATGCGCATTACACTGCTGCATTCTCACAAGCCGCTGCCCTGCCACTACCGCTCACCAGTCTGCAGTCACAATGCGCAAAAGCCGATGCGTCCTGCCTACAGTATCTCGCTAATTTTCCTTCTAAGAACTCGATCACTAAGATAACAGCTTAATATTTTACTCTTTGGTATTTGATGTCTGGAACCACGGTGGATGAAAAATCATAACATCAGGTTAATTTGTAGTCAAAATTTCTGTTAAATTGAGGCAGCTGGTATTTCTTTGCAATGATAAAATTTTGTAGCTTTAATGTTGGAATTTTAAGTCAAATGTTTCGGTTATGATTATTAAGTAATCTATATATTAAAAGAATTCTTTTAATATGTTCTATAGAGAGAGTAATAGAAAGAATTATGGTCAGTATGTACCAATTACCATTTCTGTTTACTCATAAAAGTTAGTCTTTGCACCTTTGCCTACTTCGAAGAACCAGATGATTTAGCTTGAAAGAATTGTAAAGACGGTGATGGGTCTCTTTTTATACTCGCACTTTAAGCATTAAGTAAATTTTTTTTTTTCTTGACACCATCTCCCTGTTTGGTTATGTTTAACTTCTGTTGACAAATGAATATAAATCACTTTTGACGCTCGCAAACGTTTCTATAGTATTTGGATCGTTAATTTTATTCCTTCCAAAAATCCCATAACAACGTAAAGGGGAGACGAATTGTAAAAAATAAACTGAATTGAAACTTTTGAAAATCTAAGCAAACTCCTCTTTGCCATTGAAATTTGCTTAGAAATAATATTTCTTGTGGTTGCTTAGCGTAGTTCAGTAACAAGAGGATCTTTTATTAATTTTCATCCAGACGAAATGCTATTCCACTTCCCAAAAAAATAACTGCTGCGAAACTTAAAAATCAATCAACTTGGAATGATACAGCAATTTGCTTAATACATTCTTGTTCACGGGGCAGGAGCACTAATGTTGGAGCAAAAAATTTTCAATTTTGTGACAAAGAATTTATCTGTTAGACTGAAAAAGGACTAACTGATGCTGCGTGGAAGACGGATGTACTATAAAGTGGGGCACGTAGGGTGAGACTGCGTAAATTTTATATTTCAAGTTTTTTAGTGCTGAGAACGTTATCTTTCGTGAGCGGAAAGGCGGCAACTTTTTATAATGCGGTCTGCCTGGTACCGTTATCGGTTTAACCGTCGCCATCTGTGGAACAATAGAAATTCCTTAAAGACAATAAAAAGGTAAAAAACGGACTTAGTTTTTTGAGCGACTACGACTTGAAAAGCAATAAAATAAACTTGCAGATGCCTACTGTCTTTAGCTTTTTTAATCGGTAATAACCGGTGATCAAACTGCATGACCATCAATCTAAAGATTATTTTTTTACTTAAGAAAGTTGTACGTTTTTGTCATTGAAAAGAAGTGCAAAAATAACATAAAAACTGTATTTCTCTTCCCTAAAACGCCCTAATTCAGTCAATAAACACTAAACAGAAAAAAAAACTAAAAAAAAACTGAAGGACAGCGTTCTGCCGATTATCATGGGTTTGATACATCAAGAACGGGGTAGAATGAACAACGTAAATATGTATTAAACTCTACAGCAACTTCCTGAATTTTAAGCAGTTTTTTTTTT